CAATAACAGGAAAGCTGAACAGAGTAAAGGTGTTGTTTTGCTTCTTATTGCACATCCTATTTCTTACCGTCTTGGAAAAAGAATGATATGTGAGAATATCAGGAATAGTGGTCTTTTGCAATGTTTACCATGATAATGGAAGATACTAAAGCCAGCTTATAATGTGAAATCTGAAAGCATTTTTGTATTCATTTTTGAAAATGGGGTTAAATGCTGTATTACAGTGGATAGCTTTTAATCTATGGAACGCTGGCACCTCTGCTCCTCTCAATTTAAAATAGAAAACCCCCCTCAGGGGTATAAGAAAGGAAAAAGTATTATTTCCTAACTTCATCTTTTTTATAAGAAATTAAAATGAAGCAAAATAATGAGGAAGATACAACGAAGGAACAAGAGAAAGAAACAGTGAAAGATAGGTCAATGGAAAGGGAGGTTAGACACAAGGAGGGGAAGAAAAACCTAAATCTGGGCAATAAACATTTTAATATTATATTTTTTTGGACTGAAATACATCTGAAAAGGAAACTCCAGATTTTTCCTCAGTGAGTATGAATCATGTAATCTCCTGCTGTGTTTCTGTACGACTGCTGACATGTTTACAGGTTTATTTTCAGCGTCTGTTCCTATCGTTACTACCAAATCGCATCAACTCATTATGCTTCAAAACAATTAACTGCATCTCATTTTTCATTAAAACTGAATGTGACTCCATTATGATGATGCTCACAGATTTAATCAGCAGGCCCGTGTTCAGCTTCTATATAAAGGACTCCTCAGGGTAGCTCTCTTGCTTTAATCATTGCTCTCTTCTAAATTCCTAAAATCCCCTCCATGGTAATCAATTCCTCTCATATTTTCGAGACACCAGAGATTGACGTTAGCTGAACCCAACAAGCATTTTGTTTAAAACATATTTATCTTATTTTGTTCAGCCAAGTTAGTGTTGATTTCTTGTGTGGGCAATCAATAAAAGTTTGGGGTGAGACGATCGATAGCCCTCTCCCAGTACATGGAGCTCTGACAGAAAATGGCAGACTATTGTATTTTGTTCAAAAAGTTTCATAGACTTGAATCATTCAGGAAACTTTCTCTCCATCAAACATTCGGCCTGGAAATCGCTTTGAAGTTTCTGTGCTGAAAGTTTTGAGGCCATCATAAGATGTTCTCTAAGGGAACCTAATGCAAAGATGTTCTTCCTCACATCATGATCATCATCCTCCTACCTGCTTCTCTACATTACTAAGCAAGATCAGCTCCCAAGCTGTCTTTATTTACCTTCAGTCAACGGGCCGTCTGTCTGATAATCTGAGTTAGCATCCCCACGCTGACATGAAACCTTCAAAACTTCAAACTCAGGCTTTTCAGCTCTTGTCCTCACTGCTGACAGCTGGCACTTCAAAATCTGATAACAGTAGCAATGACAATGAACTGTCACTGAAAACAGGAAATTACAGACGAAGGAGCTTAACGTCCTAATTAGGCACAGAGTTAATTAAAGCCCAGCAAGTCTGGCACCAAAAGTTTAAAAATCATTAAAGCAGACAGATGAGAGAACTTCATGTCTTTGATTTTAAAAAAACACGTAAAAAACAACTCCTAAAGCATCATTACCAAATAGCACAATACAAAAATGTAATGAGAAATGTTATTAAAAAAAACACGAATCTGTTGATCTTCAGTTATTGAAGGTCAAGTCTTCAAAATTTCTTTTACGGGGCTCTCCTCCCTCGTAAAAACAGATTAACAACTCCATCTTCCTGACTTTAAAACCCTAACAAATAAGGCAAAAGGGAATTCAATAACCAAGTCTCGCTGTTTGGGTGATGAATTACATATTTGGGCTGTTTATGATCCAAATAGATGTCGCAGCTTAAAGAGACTGCATGCCATAAAAGGAGAGTAAGCGATCGAAACACAAAGAGAGGGAGATGCTCTATAAATACAGATCTTTGTGCTTTGGACTGAAACAAATGTTTGACATAGATGGGGAGACTGTTGCATGTGGGATGACAGGTCAATGTCAAGTGTTTTTCTTTATGAAGCGATCAGAGATGTCAAACTTTAAACCGCAGTTCTTCCTGCAACAGCACTTCAGGGATTAATCGGCTGCAAAAGAAGTAAACTTAAGCAGCTGGGTGTTTAGTTATTAAATAGTTTGGGTGTCTCTTTTTTGTACTCATACTATTGCTTTGTATTTGGCAAAAGCTATGAATTTAAAGCCAATATCTGATGTCCTCACTGTCCAAAAGAAAGGGACTTCATGAAAACATATACTTAGAATGTGGCAAGAACACATTTAAGCTTACCTGAAAGTCGCAGCTTAAATTTGGTGGTGGCAACATCATGCTGAGGTACTGCTTTACTGACCAAAGCAAAAGGCGCAGTGTCCAAGTAGATCGATTAATAGAGGAAGAGGGGGAATCCTGTCAAGTTCACTAACCTCTCCTTAAATCAGCAGCTGCATGGTTTAAACTTGGACAGGACTGGCTGTTCTGGTTGGATCCCCAACACACATCAAAATGGTATTTGAGATACATAAAGTAGGCTTGATTAAGCCTCTGGAAAGGCATCAAGGTCACCCTATTGAAATAGTATGGATCGGTCAGGAAACCAACCATTTAGAATGAGCTTTATCATATCTGATAAGAAGGGTGATCAAATATTCAGACTGAATAATGCCACAAGCCTTTAGATGGCTGCAGAAGGGTTAAGCTTCTCTGAAAGAGTTTATTTAAATTTCTTAATTCTAAAGAAAATTAGCAGCAGTTATTGGTCATCTGTTTAAATCTTGTACTTCAAATCTTACATAATAGTTAAACCTATAAGTAGTTTATGGAAACTTTGATCCAAGTTGTAAGAAAGAGCAATAAATCCTGACATGATGGACAAATCCTCTCTGTTTTGCCAGGTAGCCCATGGCTCAGCTCCAGAGAAAAACAAACATCTCCATTTCTTCCTCATTGAGATTTCTCTCTTGTCTCCCTGTCGCTTTGAAATGTGACATTTGACAACTGTCACTGCATTCCTTTTTGAGGAGCTGGGCTGCAGGCGCAATGAGAGGTTTATGCAAGAGATGTGCCCCGGCAGAATTTGGCCCTGTGCGGGTAAGAGGAGCGCAGCCGTGACCCATAGGAGCACGAGGGAAGCTGCGGATAAACTGAGGATTGCTGAAAGGGGGAGGGAGAGAAGGAGGGAGTGCAAAGGAGGAGAGGATGAAACTGTACTGCAGCAGTGCAGGAATAAGAAATGAAGAGGAGCCTGAAATATAAAAAAAAAACCCTCAACATTGCAGAACGCATATTGTGAGAGGGGTTTAAGGCTTCTTTATTATTCATACAAAGCCTGTGTATAGCATATCTGCTTCTTCCAGGTAATCCTGTTACGACAATATCATCCTCAGTTACCAGCTACCCAACTGAGGGAAGAGGACCTGGCAAGGCACCCTCTCCCTGCTGAGCCTCGCATCTCTCCTTCCTCCCTTCCTTCCTTCCTTGCCCTCTGCATAAACAGCTCACGTTAGGAAGAAACACAGCACCAGGAGAGACGTTCGGGACCACCGATAAGCTCCCCATCAGCTGTGTACAGTAATTTCATCCCATTGTAAACAGGGACATGAGTCTGCAGCAGACACGTTTTTACTATTGGACAAAGTATGTAATGTATGCTTTTCTGGCTGCTTTCTCCTTTCAGAGTCTTCAGAAAATGTAAACAATCCCCAGAAAAGTGCTGCTGATCTCTTACAGAGCATCTGCTCCTGCTCTGTCCAGACCCGAACGCTGGTTTATCCAATTTTCAAATCCCTCAGTGACACATGAATACACATGCAGCAGCTCAAACAAAGGTTATGCACGCCCTGCATTGGCTGAGAGAGGAGATATCGCACTGATATCTACAGCCTGAGACCTGCAAGCACTCAAGGAACAAATATCCTATTCATCATAAAATTTTCATCCCCTACTAGTTCTGATGGGTCTTGTGCATAAATATATATACACATATTTATATGCAGGAACAACATTTCATTTTACCTTTAGCTTCAAATTGATGAATTCAGTTTTCTAAAATTTAACCTAAGTGTAAGACAGTTTGCATCTAACATCCCCGTCGTCGATGTGTCAACTATCTGTGGCCCTTTTAGATGATAAACAGGAAGCCCATCCCTACACACCCATGGGAAACCAGACAAAGAGGACACACCACTGATGAGGATCATTTGAATATATTTGGATATTATCGGACTTCCATGGACAGAAGTCTATAAAACAAAGTCTCGAACAAACATCAAGCTTTATAAGCTTCACCAATAGACACTGTTGAAGCATCAGTTTTTAGAAAATAGTAAACACATGAACAGCAACAGTGGATTAAAAATACCAAGAGGTGATTTTTAGACCTTTATATGATCAAAGCTACCAAAGAGATCTCTCCGTTTCTTAATGGCAAAATCACAATTAGGGCTGCAACTAACGATTATTTTGCAATTAATCTTTCGATAATTTATTTGATTAATCTATTAATAAATGGCTAGCCATAGCTTCCTTAAAAAAAATTTTTACTAAATCAAACCAGCTGAATCTAAAACCCTTCCACTTGAGGATTTCTGAGTAGAGCATATTGGCAGAAAAAAATTATATATTTTTTACATTTTTTCTACAATAACTGCTAACGATTAATCTGATTAATTGTTTCAGCCCTCATTAAAATGTTTAGCTGACTGAAAGGCTTCCCAAACCATAAGGCAAACATTTTGGCAAACTTCCTAAATTACCTTTATAAAAGGAACTGCAATAATGATGAAACTCTGACAAAATAAAAAAACCTGGCAATGCTGCAGCTTATCACTGTCAACCGTCAACAGGTCAATAAGACACTGATTTTCATTCAGGTTTGTTAATTGGCAGAGAAATCAATAATCTAAACGATGAGTAATCCGTTTGCATATTTAATTTCTCTCAGCAAACCACAGATATAGAGGACCATACGTGTGCAGAATCACTAACCCGTGGAGACAGGGCAGTGGGAGTCTGGGTGAAGAGCGTGGGGTGGGCTGCTGACCGAAGGCCATGAGCTCTCCTGACAGTGTGACGGGTGAAAATAGCAGGCAGCACCTCCTGCAGGATGAAAGACACAGAGACATTTCAGGTTATGGAGACATCCTCATCTCATAGAAGAAGAAAATCCATACATTAAAATATCCTTGCAACATTTTCAAATTCAAACTTCTATATTTTTGTCACATTGTAACATCAAGTTTTAATGAGACAAAAAGTTTGCAACCTTCTGCTACAGAGCTTCAATATCTCGTTAACAATATCCCACAAAAAAAAATGTTATTCTTTAGAGTTGTTTTAATTTTTTCCCTAAGGGGAACATCCAGGTCATTTTGCTATCAATATCTTAAATATTATTCTCAATAGCCTCTGGCAGGATTGGGTCTGAAGAGAACATATTTGGACAGAATTAGTTTATTACATTGTTGATAAAAAGAGAAAATGGCAGCCGTTTAGGCTCAGTAAAGTAACAAAGTAAAACTTAAAAAAAGAAAATTGTGAAGCTATAACGACAAAATGATACACTTCATCATTTAGCGGCCTGGGGGCAGCCCTCAGACTTTCAGTCTACAACAAACAACAAATTGTTATGAAATGATTTGCTTTAGAATCAAAAACAGAATAATAGAACAACCAATCTTTACGATTCAATAGATCCATTTTTATTTTTGCTCGTTGGGTAGAAAGCAACGTACCTTTATTACATCATTTACCACAAATAAACATCCTATAGAGGAAAATTCTTCATTTGCTTTTTGCAATTTTTTATTTCCTAACCTAAAAAACCCTCAAGCAGAAAAAATGCAGTGACTCTTTCTAGGTTTTTAAATCTTGTGATAGACTAACAGAAAGGAGATTATCATTTTTAATGGGAAGAAAAGCCATGAATGTGATTTGATCTAGTCTACATCTAGACAAGTGATTATCAATCCTGGTCCTCTAGTATCACTGGTCTGCGTGTTTTAGACTCAGAATGATTAACAGACTTTTCCATTACATCACGGCACTTGAAGAATTAGGAAATTGATTTAAATCAGATGTGTGGCAACAAGGAGACATGTAAAACACGCAGGGCTGTGGTACTTGAGGAAAGGGTTAGAGAACTATTTATCTAGCCCATTCCATCATAGCATTGGTGCTAGAGTCAGGGTTGTTGTCATATAGTTGTTTCAATACTTTTACAGCCAGATTTTCTTCCAGGATTGACCTGCCTTTATCTCCATATGGTTTGCATTAGTAAAGAGCAGGTTAGTGTAAAAGTTTTTAGTTTTTTGTAGCCTTACACCACACATAAATGCAGGCCACAAAGTTTTGTTGTGATCTCATCTGACCAGAGCACCTTCCACATGTTGGACAAACTTCAATGGGACGTGGCTCTCTTCCAACAATGGCTTTCCTTCTGCTGCTTTTACATAAAGGGATCCTCCGAAATGTTTCTAAGGTTTGCACTATATTGGTCTTAATATGATATTCCCTAAATAAATGAATCCCCACTGCATGATCCTGGTGCCACCTTGCTTCAAAGTGGGGACGGTGTGTCCAGGATGTTTGTAGAAGAGTTACTGTCTACTCATTTATTCATTCTGAAAGCTGTTTGTTAGTTGCTATTTAGTGGTAGAAGGAATGTGGTTTAAAATGCACAAAAACAATGCATCTATATTTTTTCAAATATTTTTGTTTGTAGAAATAAATTCCCAAACCAGTTTTAAGTTGCTAAACAAGTTTGAAATAACCAAGCCAGTTTTTCACCGTGAACTCAAGAAGAGGTAATGTCTTTAGTAGATCTCTGGGAGCTAAAAACAAGTTTAAAATAACAGACTTCAAAGTAATAGCTGTGTTTTATTATCTATTTCTGTCACAGCGCCTTGCAATCTCTCTTTTGTATTGGTTCAGCGGCAGACTGAATGTCAAGTGAAATTTGCTGCATATGTTTTAAGGTAGTGAGGCAGCCTACTACTGCAGCTCACACCTGCAGATGAAAGGGATGATCGACCCTCTTCACCCCCAAGCTATACTCTCAGGGAATTATTGTTTGAGAACAAGTAAAGAATAAAGACCTGAAGCAAAGAAATTTTGCAAAAGAGAAAGGGAAAAAACCTGCAAGCTGTACCCACTTAAGATCGGGCTTCCAAAGGGGCCTGTTCATAGCTTGTATCTTGGATGCATTTTGTCCTCAAGATTCACAGCCCTTTAGAAATGCCTAAAATACTTTCACCTTGGAAATATGCGGTCGGATGCTCTTGGGCTGCTAGCACTGACAAGGCATCAGATGATGATGAAGTGGAATTTAAACACAGAGAGCAGCGTACTTAAACTCAACCACTGAACCTTATTTTCAGCTTGTTTTAGACCATTTTGAGAAGATCTGTTTTAGGTCCATGTGGTCAGATCATTGATGCTTTAACATCATGCCTATTTTTCAATGAAAATCATTGCTCAATAAAAAATATATTGAGAGAAAAAAAACAGCATTTCAGATTTTCTAGTCCATTCTAATAATATATTTTATCCAAATTAATTGCAGATGCAATCTGCATATTTTATTAATAATTTCAGTAATTTATTAGTGAATATCCGCTTCTTTAATCTTTTATTTAAATTTGATGTAATTTATTCAACACTTATTTCATAACAATAAGCAGTTTGTCATCCATCAGAGGTCTAATCACTGCTACTGTCAATTTTACAACTCTTCTTTGCCATTACCTTCATAATGTAACCTTTAGCAGGGTTATATGGCATGACAGAGCAGGGACTGTGTATCCTTTTGTTAGAGATAAGATCCACACAAAATAGAGGGCATTGTAGTATCATTTTTTACACTTATTGATATAATCCTTAATGCATTTTAACCTTCACAAAGCAGCTTTAAATATATACCTTATAAACAGAAAACAGAGGAGTGTAGATGTCCACAGGTCAGCCAACAGAAACAGGCATTTGTTATGTACTGTATAAATCTGGCCTTTATAGAAAAGTGGAAAGAACGCTTTTGTTAAAACAGAACCTTAGAAGTCCTGCTTGCTGCAACAAGCAAATTCTTTATGGGGAAGAATATGCTTTGCTAAGATGAGACCAAAACTACTGAATTTCACTACAGTGAAACATGGTGGTGGCAGAATCTTGCTGAGGGGGTGTATTATTATTATTATTCTCTTTCTGAAGCAGGGTTAGGTAAGGTAATCAGAGCCAATTAAATGACAGGTGGAATTAAATATGGTGTAATTCTGACAAAAACCTGACGAAGCTATAAAAAGAACATTTACTTTAGAGTTAAGCAGTTACTAAAAAACTAAAGTTTCATGTAAAAGAGCAGAAAATAAATAAAGAAAGTAGAACAAGTCACCAAATTACAATAGACTCTTAAACGTCTGTTGGAATATTGTCTTCTATTTCCTACTTTTCAGCATGCAGAGCCTGGTCCTGGCCCAGACAGGCGTTAAGATCAGCATAACTGGCTGAGATATGCACCTTTGCTTTTTACCTCCATGTTTCTACAATTGCTAAAAAGCAGAACTAATTTCAGTCTGGGCTGCTGCAAACCAACACTCCTTTGTTCATAATTGTGTTTGACTTCTCTGAGCACACACCGGAGCAAATCATAATGTTTCCAAGGAGACAGATTTCAACAACTGGCCACACTTGTAGTCTTCTATGGCAAAGAGCAATGACAGTGGAACACTTTCAGGGACTCTGTCCTGCACATTAAGAGATGCAATAGACCTTAGTACTGAGATAGCAGGTTGTTGGAGGATTATTACTAAGTATTTCTTATCTATCTCAAGCCAGGCACACAGCATCAACTCATAGGTGTGGCTTCTGGACTCCTGGATGTCTGTGAACTAACAAGTGGGTCTCCTTAATTTTGAGGAAATACCATATTTGTAATGTCAGGTTTTCAGATCGGTTTGGTCGGGTTTTCTTTTTGCTTTCAAAATCCTCATGCAACACAGTCAGAGCATAAGTGACAGTGTTGCAATAAAAATAGGTCTACTGATTTTCCCCAAACATAAACAAAGCAGAGTTGATTTTTGAATGGAGTATAACAAATTTGAAAAACCTACATGCAATCATACAGTACCTTGCAAAGGTTTTCAAACTACTGTAAACTTACACACTATATATAGGTCAAAAAGCTTCTTTGCCTTTAAGAAATACCAGATTTTTGTTTTTTATTACTAATATCTGTCATGCTAAAAGTTTCTTCCATCCTCTGCAGGTCTGCAGGTCCTTACAGTGGCAATGATTTACACCCCAATGGATCTTCGTGATGCTGCCTGTACAAAAATGTTCTCTTAACAAAACACTAAGGACTTCACGGAACAGATAGATTTATATTCAAATTAAAACACATGTGTGATGAATTTTATATTTAGGTGACATCTAAAGACAAGTGGTTTTTGTGATAACTATCTAAGGGAAATAGAGTAAAAAGGGGTTGGAAACACATTTGTGAAAAAAGTAAAAGTGTTTGTCTGATTTACATTTCATTGTATCCATTTAATTATATAAATACCAGTAAAAAGACATTAAAGGAGTCATGACATGACATTTTACTAATGCAGTCCTTCAGACTTCAGACCTTGAAATTGTGGTTAATCATTTTTAGGACTAGAAAATAATTACAGCTTATTCAGATGCTTTTTCATACCCCTTTTTTCCTCGTAAGTGTACACACAGGAATATTATGGCACTTTGATGTGGCTGTAGCATTAGAAACACTAGCAGTTTGCCATAGTTTGCTTAAGATTGCTTTCCATTCTCTTTAGAAATAGGTAGGAAGTTAAACCACTTATCAACTGTCTGCAGGTGAGTCTGTTTTCAGCCCTTTTGGTGGAACAGAGACAGGAGTGGTGATAACAAGACAGGCTAATGTTAGACCCCTTCTACCACTGACATCAATACATCATGATTTGTGAAGAGCTTTTCCAGTTTGAACAAGAACACAAAAAAACAACAAAACAAGACACTCCCACACTTCTGATTTTGAAGCTGTTTTTTTGCTTAAGCTCAACACCAAAACATGTTTTAAAATGACAAGATCTGATTTCAGGGGGATG